CCAGCCTAAATCTCTGCACCGAACAGACCAAGATAAGATGGACAAATAACTCAAGAAAAGGATGTTACTCCTCAATTACAGTTAGTAACTTTAGTGCTGCATGGTTACTCAACAGCTTTCTGTCAGTGAAGCGTGTGATTCTCATTTACTTCTCTCTTTCTACAGCTGCTTCATCAACACATACAGTGCCAATCAAAGGTTTGGAGGTACTCGCCCATTACTTCTCACTAGGACTGTACCACGCGTGCTCTGATGTTAACAGTCCGCTAGCAGCAACTTCAAAGTAGACACCAAACCACTCTCTCCACAAAGTTGGATAAAAACAAAATTTGACAAAGGGCTTTAAAATATTCATCAGTGCCCTGTGCAACTGTTATGAGGCATTTAGAGAATAGGAAAATGCCTCACAGTCTGTGTATGAATGTGTTTTGTTTTTGTTTTTGTCTTTTGCAAAGTAACGACACAGTTTAAAGGATAAACGTATAATTGCTGTTGAGATGGCGATCTTTCTAAGATATTAATGAACATCATAGAAGGAAATATTCACAAAGGTAGTTGAATGTTGTCATTGTGCTTCTTAAATTTGTAAACTCTTCCATCTATAGGATCAAGACATTCCTTTGTCTCTGACCACCTCTCCAGCCACTTTGTGCTGGGGAGGTGCTTGTGTTGTATTGTGTATTGTAACAGTTGTCAATAAATAGCTGCCAGCGAGCTGCTCTTTGAAGGACTTTGGGCTGGAGACAGGTTAGGAGCGTGAGCTTCAAGAGCTGGTTCTTGACCAAAGACTTCCCTCGCTAGCGGGTTGAAGATGTTCTGTTATGTGTTGTTTTCTTCATGATGAATAAGTCTCTAAACTAGCAGGGCTTGTGGAAACACAGACCCAACATTTATACTTCCTTTACTCAAGTGCCTTTAATCAAAATGTCCATTTATATGTGTAACATTAACATTGCATTAGCAGTTGATTCAATAAATATACTGTGTGAGCAACTACAGTCAAATTTCTACACAAACTCACTGGAGATTAATAAGCAGACTGTCAGGAAACTGAAAAGAAGATCCTGACACTCATACTTATTCAATACATTCTGATTTAAAACTGTCTTTAGTCATTTTAGTTTACCCTTTTTTATATTTCAGCTTTTCTTCTGTTCATTTAATGCATTATTTTCACAACTTAGGTTGCCTTGTATCAAAATACTTATTTGATACGAGTTATCTATGACATAATTATTACAAATAAACTTGCGTTGCTTCATCTTGCCAAATGTAAAATGAATAGACAGAGAGCCCAGCTTTCAGTTTAAATAATTTAACTTCATCAAGTTTTAAAAGGTTTAGGGATAGACAGAGTTTAATTAGAGGCAAGTAGAATAATTTATATTAGTAGGCATGCTGGAACATATAACTATGAGTCATTTCATTAGCTAGAGGATGAGGATATAGTTGTTATCTAATGAGTAAGGAAAATTATATAAGGAAAATTGTCTGATGACTGGGGAACATTATATAAACTGAAAAAAACAGCATACTCACAATGGACATATAGTGGAAACCACAAAAAACACTTCACAGGTTTAAAACATCTACTCTATATTTACGCAAGTTTCTAGATGACATGAGCATTCACACTGATCAATCCTGTCAAAAGCAGGATTAAATCTTAAAGGTTGATTCAGTCCCAGATGTCAAAAGGACATTGGCAATCTTGGCCTGGACTGTTATAGTCACATAGGAAGCTCATGAATCTCATCTAATAACTGTTAAAAACTCGAAAGCTACATCTTAAAATGGACAAAAAGGCCAGTCTAAACTTGTTCACCCTCTTCAGATATCCCTGTCTGTCCAGTCGACAGCTAGAAATAGAGAAGGATGGACAATGCTCCAAATTTGTGAGATTTCTACATATGTATACAATCATAGGCAAGTACAGATATTGTACAGCCTTCGTTGGTCTTCTATGAAATATTTAGTGCAGGCTCTGGATGATCCAGCACATGATTGATGACAGGAATTCTAGTCTTGTTTTTTTTATGGCTTCTTATACATCATCTAACCAGCTGTGACTGTCCAGATGTCAGAAACAGTGACCGATTCTAGTCTGGGTGCTTGTATTGGATTCTGCTGCAGACTGATTTATGAGTAGGAATATCGCCAAGCCACATTTATTTGTCATGTTAACTGTGACATGAGAGTAGCGTTATTGGAATTTGTTGCCTGCCATCTGATGCACAATACCCACTGACGGAGCAGGAACTGGTAATTCCACATTTATTAATGCATGGAGGACAAAGATGACAGCAATACTCACGTTTGGCTTTGGTTTCTTCTGTAAATTGTCTGAAGGCGAGCCCATATTAATAGCAGATTCAAATAAAACCTTCAAAATAAAATCTATTTAAGATTTTATTATTTAGTAATGGTTTCAGAGGAAGTGGGACACAATTGGTTTTGAGCAATGAACAAAAGAAAATGCTTACAAATTTTACTCTGAATATAAACTTATATACTATGGGATTCAAACTATAACTTGAAACATTTATATAAGCATTGTGATTTTTAAGAATATTGTCAAAGTCCTAATCTGTAAACAGATATTTGTGATATTATGAATAGCAGAAACCAGCAGGATCTAACATGATGTTACATAAATGCTACTGCAGGTGAAAAAGGCTTTTCTTGGTGTTAGGCACTGCTTTGCCAGCGGTCAGACACAATCTCATTTTATGGTGACTGGAATCTGATCTGGGATCTGAGTGCGAGACAGACAATGCTTTGTCAACTTTCCATTGACAAAGAATGTAAACAGAGAGAGGGAAGCTTCAAATTGGGCCTAGAGTCTCCTGGAGAATAATTAATGTGACATTTCCCTGACATTTAGTCAGAAGTATATACCAGAGGAGCCTCAAGAAGGAAGGAAGGGAGGAGAGATATGAGCCAATGCAGAGAAAAGAAAGCCAGGAAGGATGGCAGGGCAGAGAAAACACAGGCAGCAACACTGAGATTTTGCTTTTAAACATTTTTCCCCTGAACATCTAAAAATTGTAGCTTCTTGTTTTGTTTTGTACAAACATTAAAACAGGAACTAAACAGAAGTGCAATTACACAGAAACACAAACAGGCCCACTCCTGTTCAATACCCACTCCTTCGGCGATGATAAAATCGTACTTTTGTTGCCTGGTAACCATTTGTTTTGTGCTAATCGCTACCATTCACCATCTTTTTATGGGCTGCTGCACATTTTTGGTCCAGGATAGGAGAGCACAGCTGATCAGTCTGTGGTTCAAATTGGATTGCTCAACAAGCCCACAGTTAAATAAATAAATAAAAGAACTAAGACAATACATGAACCCCTTGAATGGTTTTGGTAGCTTGGTCTGTGGTTTAATGTGGTCCTTTTTTAACTAATTAGGAATTAATAAACTCTGCTGCTTGCTATGTCAAGTTTGCTCCTTTTTCTGTCTATCCCTACCCTCCACTATCAAGATATAATGATGCCAAGCCAGGAGGTGATGTGAATTAGCAGCTCAGTTAAATTCTTTTAACATGAATAATAGATATATATAGACATTGAGAGCTAGAGATTCGCCGAAACCACTTTGCATAAGCAATTTTCTGTGTCATTATTCAAAGTGAATCGCTGTACCCATCTTCGTCGAGCACTTCACAACAGTTTGTCGCTGATATTTTGATAAATTGCAGGTATCGGGGCGTGATAACGGAGACAAGAACTTATGGTCGACTCCGAGTGGTCATCTCCTTTTTGTAGGCTACAGCACTTTCTTAGCGCTAACCCAATAAGCATCGATTTTACATCTCTTTGATTCCTGTGAAGAAGACATTTCACTGACAGACTCACAGCACTCATCTCACTCTGTTTGTGGATTAGAGCTGACAGTTCTAACAAATCCTCGCTGCAAGGCATCAGCCGGCACAAATTGCTAATAGTTTCATTTCCATTTCCCATGCAATAATAGCTGCAAGACAAACAAGGCACGCTGCTCCCCTTAAAACTGAGCTGGAAAGAAACAGCCCCCCTCTTTGATCCTTCCAATCCAACTGAGAAGAGTGTGATCAAAGGTTGCTCATGTTTAACACTGCTGTGGTCTCCCAGGTTGCAGTTGCAGGTGTGGCTCTGTGAAAGACCTGCTGATGGCATAACATGCATTGACTAACGGTGCGGGCTAGGGTTATGGTTGAAAGAATTGCATGTCATTTCCAGCTTCTTGTTCATGTGCACAGAGCTAAAATTCAATATCTCAAACCTCTTAATCTCAAAATGATTTTTTTTTTTGGGGGGGGGGTCACAAAAAAGCAAGTGCTTTAGTTATTTTAATGTAGTTGCACTTTATATTACAGCTTGGTAACAGTGAGATAGTAAGGTGGAAAAAGATTAAGTAATATTGTGGAAATAACGAGTTATTACCAACTGGTCCATTTGGTCCACTGGTCTGTTTGTTTGAAGGTCTGTTTTTGGTTTTGATGATAATGATGATGGCAATAATACAGCAACGGTCCTTTGTAACTGCGGCATTACAGGACACAAGGCTAATGAGCCCAATGTCACGTTTTAAAGATGTTTTATAGCGATAAATAAAGGCAGCCATTTATGTTGTTACCAAATTCGCCTTCCTGTTTTGTTCCCAGGTTTCAAATCACAATAACTGCAGACAACAGCACAGAAATCCCATGTGAACAAATGGCATTGACAGGCTTTTTCTATGATTTCCAGCATTTACTCCATGTTCCAACTTTTGAACAATCAAAATGTAATGACTGATACATTTTGTGTAATCATAAACTGTTTCCTCTCCGTGCAATGGCAGTAATCTAAGGTCACCTGGCTGTGCTGATATTTGGTACAGGAGCACTTCCTATTATTTGATTTTTCTTGAATAAACTGAAATTTCAAGCACAACACCGCAGGTATTTCTGCGACAGGGGTCAAAGTGAACATAACCATGATCAACTCACACCCAAAATCCCGTGGCATTACCTTTGCTGCAACAGATGAGCTGGGCTTTTCCAGGAGGTCCCAAAGTTTCTTTCTTTTTTCGGCACAGCAGGTGTTGTCAAATTCTTCTCCCTCTCTGTCTTTTAAGTTGTCTGCCTCCCTTTTGAGTTCTTCATTCATTTGCTCCTTTTTCTGGTGATATCTTGCTTGGCAACACGACTCCAGGTAGATCTCATCGATGCCCCAGTAGTCTAGTTCTTGACTAAATGAAAGGGCGCACATTTCCTCCATCATGTGCAGCTTACCCGTGCGGTAAAAGTTCAGAATAGATGTAAACGCCCCTGGATGCCGGTCGAAAAAGTACTCATTCTCCTCCAGACTGTAATCATCGCACACTTCCATCAGTGATTCGTGCGAGTTGCAATCTCTTAACTTTCCCAAACGCGTTCGTGGTAGCCTGTCTAACGTTCGCCACAAGACCTCATGCGGGAGCCCTCCAACGTTTAGCCTGACTCTGCGGAAACATGACTTGCTGCGAACGATGTCCACTGGTTCAGGTGGCAGCGATGATGTTGACCGAGAGCCGGCTTTATTTAACTCGGCCAAGGATTTCTCCATGATAACTTTAGGTAGAGAGAGCATGAGGACCGCTGAGGCTATGGACTACACTTGATTGTCTCTTCATTCATTATCGTATCTAAAGGAATCACAAAATAAAAACAAACCATTAGTGTTACAGAGCTTAATACAAATGTCAGAGGCCCATTGATTTCTGTTGTAACAGTCGTAACACCTTGCTGCTCTGGCTCTGGGATACATTACCCCAGAAAGGCAAACCTGACTATTGTTAAAATGATGATAAAAGTAAAACAAAATTATTTCACTCACATTAATTCTTCCATATTTCTTCTGAAAATGTCGTTCAACAATCATAAAATGCTTTCTTAACTGTTCACTGGTTGAACTGCTCATGCAAAAATACTCGAAATCAATAAAATTAAGTTATTTCTAATGATATTTCCCAATCAGTTACTGCTGTTCTTGTTGTCTTCAGCATTATTCTATTTTTTTAAATTTCTTCCTAAAACCACAAGAATCTCTTGGTGAACAGATGGGGGTTATTAAGATGACTCATTCACATATAAACAAGGCAAAAAAAACAGAATCCCAGTTTATTATTGTGCTGCAATCATCTAAAACTGATACTGCAAAAAGCCTCATGTTCTAAAATCTTACAAAACACTTTTGACACTTCTAACAACAGGAACAGAAGAAAAACTGCCTCAGATGCTATAGATCAGATACATTTAGAATAAAGAAATGAAATCATCCTAATCTACCTAAAAAGCTGTTGTGACTTAAATGAATAGAACAGTCCAATCTTCTTTTTTAAAATTGTTTCCTCATCCAATAGTAGAAAAAAATGCTCAGAAAGATAAAAGGCTAAAGCCAGCACACACTGTCATGCATTTCTTTTGGGGGGTTAAAAGATATTTTGGGAAACTTTACCAAAATGCATCCATGCTGTTCTATCATCAATTTAAGCCAGTGTGGGGGGGGAAATGCTGATGATAACAAGTTCCCAAAACTTTACACAACCTATTTGTGCTGACCAATTCTGAAGAGAGCTCTCCTCTGTGGTAACAGATGAAATATTTATCTTTATGACAACAACTATTTCTGCGGTGATGGCTTAGATGGCTGCACAAGGTGGCAAAAGAGGTCATCGTGCCCATTTTTTCTTACTATTAATATTATTATTATTATTTTGCCTCCACAGAGGTCCATCTGTGCCCGTATGACGCCCATGCAGTGCTGTGGGTGGGTGAGACGCAGAACACCACGCAGTGATGAATGTCGTACAAAGTGAGCGCTGTCCAGTCCAATGGTGCTGAAACACCAGGAAGCAAATGTTCACTCCCTGAATCACGGCGAGCTCCCTTGGGAGGGCAGGCTATCTGACAAGAAAATATAGCCTACGTTACATCCTCTTGTGACGAAGAGGCCACTATTTTTATGGACCATTTATGACAGTACACGTGGCACAAGCTTCACATTGAAACGTATATATTGAGCTTGTGTGTTGTGTGATGAGGGCACGGAAAAGTCCACAACACATCGGGCCTGCAGATGTGATCACTGTCTCACAAAGTTTGTAATCTTTCACAAGCACAAATAGGCCTGAGGACTAGTTTCAAAATGCGCATGCAAAAAAATTTAAAAAAAAAGAAAGAATGAAAAAACTGAACACAAAAGTCTACTGCTGAATTCAAAATGTAGATATTGTTATATCTGTGTTGTGGATGTTGCTGGAATAAATAAAACAATAACAATAATAATAATAATAAATATTCATTTGAAGCCGCCTCCACCCTCCTCCTGCTTTATCCAAGTCAAAGCTTCGACAAAACAGATTAAACAAACCACAAAACAAACATCAGCCCCGCCTTTGTACACACTGGCAATCTGCGTAGCTACATTGGGAATGGTACTAGCCATCTAAAAGTGCAATGTAGTGAATGCAAATCTTCCATCTTTTCCCGTGTTTTTCAAAGGCTCCCTACTCCATAATGGTGCAAGCTTAAACGCACAGTGTCCCCCCCCCAATGCAACTGGAAAGCTATTACAATTGATAGGTTGCACATTACACAAAGTCCAGAAATGGAAAATTAGCTCAAAAATACCTTCGTGAGTTGTCATCCTACACTGAATCAAACCAGCACGTACCGCCTTGTGAACAATCAATCCGCTGTCACAAACAAAAAGGAAGCAGTAGCATTTAAAAAAAAAAAAAAATTGAGGCGCCGTTATTGGTTTACTATTGCCAGGGTCTAAACCAATCCATTTCCCCCTCCTCTGCCTCCGACATGGCAGAGATATCTTCTGCACGATCTACTGTCTACCCGCCGGTTTCCTGCTCCGCATCTTGCTTCCCTGATTCACCCTGAAGATCAACAAGTACGCCGACAAGCTCGTTCGGACAGACTACCTGTGTTCCCAGTCAGCTGTGTGAGGAGGCGCCGCATCTCTGTGAAGGTGGATCCATGGCAGCTCGGCGCTCTCTTTCACATCTGTTTAACTCTTTCACCACCGCCTCCTGCAAATCTATCATCAAAAACACACAGCTACGTGTACGTCAGACTATGATGTCTCCAGAAAAAGACGCGTAAATGTGCATGTGCACAAAAGCCTAGCATCCGAAAACACACCCGCAGATCCCACCTGACTGGAGAGACACACTGTAGCTCTATTTATTACGTTATTAGGCACTAGTGATGCATCGTTGTATGGTGTGTGACTGATGTGATCACTTCTAGATTGATCAGTTTCACTAGTCTGCTTTGCAGTCCACCATAACCTGTGGGGAGCGGGCGGGGGTCAGGCCTCCAATGAAGAGTGTGGTGAAATATTTTATATTACACGGCACTACAGTGCAAGCATTTAAATAATTTCAAAGCTGATATCAATCCTGACCCATTACAAAATCAATATAATCGAGCTGTTGCACTGATCTTTAATGTTGCATCTTCTGTATTTGCATTTCCTTTAGAAAATTACTTCTGAACACAGATAAGAAATCGGAGTCATTAAAAATGAGACAAAATCAGCTGGTTAGTGTTTCCTTTAGTTTTTTATTAACATACAAAATTACAAAATTTAAAAAGTTAAATAGGATTTAAGGTGGACTGATCAAATATAAGATACAATAAATAATATTACAGTATGTCAGTAAGTAGTTTGTACAGTAAGGTGCTATGTTCTCTTCAGTCTGTATCGGACCTGCAGGTCTCCGTCTGGCTGGAGCATCCCAAACCCATAACGACTGGGATTAACAGGAGGCAGTTTAGCCTCAGGGTCACACGGCTCCAGATCAAGATGGGTCAAGGCCAAAAAGACAAATCTAAAGAAAAAAGAGGTAAAAACTGTTTACATCTTTTCACACATATTAGTGCACCTGAGGCTGTTTTAACATTTGTACAGGACGTCTGACATTGGCTGTTACGAGTGACTGTTCTCTAATATCCTTCACCTCTGTCATACAGGTCCGTACAGAGAATAAGCAATGGCTGTATAACAGCTTCTTACTTTATGATTGAGAACATAAAAGCAGGACTGAAATGATAAAAAGGGGGGATATTATGTGAAGATGGCCAGAACAAGTAATCAGGTTGAAATTGCATGGAACTCTTTGATGATGAAAGTATTATTTATTTTTAAACTTCAGATAAATAATGGAAATATGTTACAAATGATTTTAACACTCACTGTTTAATAGTTGAAATAGCAAACTCTTTCCCAACGCAGCTGTTTTTCCCTGCACCCCAAGGCATGCTGCAATACTTCAGCTTTTTTCCATCCTTGTAGAATTCATCCTTCACTGTCATATCATCATTTAGGAAGCGGTCGTACTTGAAAGTCTGTCAAGAGCAAAACATGTGGGCTTCGTTAGCTGTGTGTGTTATGATATCATGAAAACAAGCTTGACTTTTTGGCTATAAAATAACATTTCACCTCTAACGAATTAAGACAAATAATAAGAATGAACATTAATAAATAACCAAGCCCTAGTCCTTGACAAAGAATTTGTAGGCATTTACCAGCTTATGCCAGGCGAAGTATTATGCCTGTGTTTTAAATCACAGTGTTTAATCATGCCACCTCGAGGCCAGCTTATTTGCCATAATATAATTAGTATAGAGGGGCCCATGTTGGTGCTGTTAATGCATATATCCTATTCTAGATTAATGCACTTCATATGTACGCACTAAATACCTGTGGCTCTTGGTGTATCTGTGGGTCCATTTGAGGGCTGAGGAAAGGGAACAGACACACTCTGTCCCCTTGTCTGAGGTGGTACCTCTTTCCATTGGCCATGTCCAGGATCTTATCCTGCACCACCTCTCTTCTGATCATTACTGCAGCAGTGAGCCGTAGGGTCTCACTCAAAATGCTATCTGTAGAATTGAAAGGACAGCAGAGTGGATGATGTCAGAGGGGTGTCAGTGTGAGTTAAGTCAGCGGTGCCCTCAGGCGTAATTTGGCGACGAACAAACATTGCACAGATACGATTATATGAAAAAGGCAATCAACATTTAATTGGTTCAAAGTTCAAACTGCCATGGCTGCTGTCACTGTTTCAATACACTGCAGTTATTTCTAACAGCTCAAAATGAGCTTTTGTTTCCATCCCACTGGAGCAATTAAACCCCAAGGTAGAAGGGCTCAAGTGAATAACAGAAAAGGCTGCTAGCAGCTGTTACGTACCAAATACAGGTGTGCTGTGCGCTTCCAGCGGGTTGTTCTGGGGCTGCTGAAAGGAAGTATCCCGCCGAGTGGAAAGGCCTCTGATCTCTGACTTAACAGCCTCCATGGCCTCTGGGTGAGTGAGCAGGAAGCCAAGGAGCCAAAAGGCAGCAGGTCCAGCATTACACTGAAACAAACATTGCACGCACACAAACCTTTACACGAGTTTCAGATGAAAAAAAACAACAGAATTCATTTTGTACGTATAAAGCTAATATATACCTAAAATAGAGATACTTCTGATGATGGCTATTATTTGCTTTCCTCTAATTTCTCTGTACTGCTGCTGTGTGAATATGACTGATGTGAGGAGA